GTAAATATCCTTTGGGCCATTTGATAAGTTTTGTTCCTCCCTAAATGAAAGGCCTGATGTTGTGTTTGAGTAATCTTTTAGCTCTGTGAACTTGGTAATAGTAATTGCCCTGCTCTGTTTGTAACCAGTCCAAGGGCTGGAAACCATGTCTAGAAGTCAGACCCCAGTTTATTGGTGGGAGGGGGGGGGGAATTGGTGGGATTGAGTCTCCTTTAATAATTGATAGAGCAGCAAACGATTTTCCTGAGCCCTGGTATCTACAGCCTACAATGTCCAGTGATTTCCAAAAACTCCCATAATTGTTTGTGTCCTAGAGTTCCAGCACCGGTCCCTAATTGAGTTGTAATGTCCCTTCCTAGCCAGGGAGTGAGGCTCTCGGGTAGTATTAGTAACGAATGAGAAAAAATTAGGTTTTCCCATATGTGTCCCAGGGGCTGAGAGAAACATTTAGTTACAAGTTTTTAAAAAATGCCTCTAGTCGTCCTGCTGCGTTTGGATGGCTGGCCTGGGGTGGAAAGAGGGCAGAAAGGGTAGCTCTGGTGTTAAGAAGGAAATCAGCCAGTTTTCCTTCTATATTTAGAGTTACCCGAGGTTCTGGGTTTCTGATAGACGGTCTGTTTAGGGGAGCCACCGTGAAGTCCCTTCCAGAGACCTGGGTTATCTGCGAGAGGTCCCCAAGGGCATTTAGATCTCCAGTGATGTTCTCCAGACAAAGGGCCTGGCTTAGGGGGTTTTCATTTTGGTGTCGCCTCTGAGGATGTTCTCATGTTAGTGCTCTGAACGGCCTACAAATGGCACCTGGTGCCAGGACCTTGGGAAGTCCGGTCGGACACCGTACATGAGGCCACAACTAAGACCTCAGATTTCTTTCGTTATTTTTTTGTTTTGTTTTTTTAAGCTCCCTCTTCTGTTTTGTTTGTGACACACCCAACTGGCAGCTTGTGAGAGCTCCTCCGGGGTCCCTTCAAGGCCAACAGCCAATTTTTGCATTCTCTCTGAGTATCGAGGGCTGGTTGACAAATCTGTCCTTAAAAATCATCTCATTGGGGCGCCTGGGTGGCTTAGTCGGTTGGGCGTCCGACTTTCGCTTAGGTCATGATCTCGCGGTTCGTGGGTTCGAGCCCCGCGTCGGGCTCTGTGCTGACTGCCAGCTCAGAGCCTGGAGCCTGTTTCAGTCTGTGACTCCCTCTCTCTCTGACCCTCCCCTGTTCACGCTGTCTCTCTCTCTCTCCTAGAAATAAAATAAAAATATTTAAAAAAAAAAAATCATCTCGGCCTTTGGGGTGTCAGGGGATAGCCATATACTTAATGAGAGCCTCCCCCAACCTCTCCAGGAAGGCCATTGAGCTCCCATTCTGTGTTTGTAAAATAGTGGCTAATTTAGCAGAATTTAAGGGCTAAATTGTAGATTTCCTTAAATGTTTTTTTCTCAAAACCTCTGTCTCATTAACAGTCTGATTTAACAAAAGCATTCTATCTTTCCAGGTCAATTCAAAACCATATGTAATACAGAAAATTTACCTAGATATCCTTTTATTTATCTTAAATCTTGTAATGTAAAGGGTTTTATGTTGATAGATTGTTTATCTCAAACCAACAAACTTCTATTAGCTTAAACACTGAACACATTTTACTTGGGTCCCCGTAAGGCCATTTTTCCCCCATGGTTAATTTTTACCTGGAACGTTGGTGGGGAAATCTGACTTTGGGGGTCTTCGCTCCTCAACATCCAGGGTGGGAGGAGGAACTGATGGTGCCTGAGGCCTTGGGGAGCCGGCGATGTAGGGAGCCCCCCCCCCCCGGCCACAGGTGGTGTGGAAAAGGAGTGGGGGAAGGGAGGGCAGAAGAGACTGTGCCAGCAGAAGGCAAAGAGAATCCCCAGTTTTAAATCTTGTCAGCTCAGACAGAGGAGCAGACTCCAGGTTTTGTTTTGGGAATATTCCTTGAAGTCTCTGTTCTGAGGCAGAATAACCAGGGACCGGTGGGTCTAATTATCACAGTCATTGGCCCAGGAAATGAAGGAGAGACGTTCCCATACACCGTCCCACGGCGACTCCCACCTGCCGCCCAGCACCTGAGTTGCAGCTTCGTTCCTCTTCCCTTGTGAAACTACTAGGGCAACTCGGGGAGGTGAGCAGGCTCCCCTTCTGCCTGTTACGGGCAGATCTGCCAAACGAACCCAGGCTCTTAACAGTCTGATGAGCGCTCCGTGAGCTGGTGCCTGGGCCTCACGGGTTCCGTTAGCAAACACGGGGTCCTGGCCCCCGGCGTGGGGAGAGTGGGCTGGTCTCCTGCGGACTGGATCAAGCGGTCCGGTGGGGCCAGGTGACCTGCCTCTCCCAGGGCCCTGAGGTTCAAGGTTCCTATTCCCGGCGGCAAAGGAAGCAGAAACGCATGGTCTCTGAATCCCAGACAAGAGCCCCCAAGTAACAGCAGATTCTCGCACACAGAGTCAGGACACAGAGGTTTTTCTTGCCAGGAAGCAACTTTATTCCCACCAACACTGCTCAGTTGGGTTCATATCCCAAGAACGGAACCCCAAATAGCGCGTGGTGTGGTGTTTTTATGTATTTTTTACTTCTTTGTCTCCCATATATGGTAACACAAACATGTAGTCTGATTAAGTGGTCTCATGTTACAAGGTCGTGAAGGATGTTGTCAAGTAAGTGAATAGCAAGGTTGTCTTGAAGTTTTCTGTTGTTTTTTTTTTTTCCCTTAGGGAGGGGACCCTACCGTAGCAGGACTTGGGGGAAGTACACAGCAGGCCTTGAGGGGCCACATGGGACATGGAGGCAGAAGGCAGAGATGGCCCGGGGACATGTGACTTTAATAGAGTCCCTGGGCGGGGACCACACTGGTTGATTCAAAGCGGAGGTCAGCTAACCTCCTCGGGGGTCTCAGCCAAGAGGCGCATAAGGCAGACAGGCAAGCAGGGGAGACAAGCGGCTCACAAGGATGCAGGAGAAGCCACATCGGGACCTCACAGTTGCTTGTGGCTCCACAGCTATAATCTAGGGGAGGGTGTCAGCGTCTAGTCCCTGGAGGCCGCTTGGCCACAGCACGTGGGTGGGGAGCAGCAATACCAGGAAGCAGCTTAACCAGCTCTCGACAGGTGTGTATCAAAGATGCAAATTTACTGCTTGTGCACCTGGGCATATATGGTGCCGCCTGAATCTGTGAACTCCGGTCTTGTCAAATCCAAGCCGCTTTTTATCTTTGAATGTCTTTTTCTTCTGCTATTTTGTCTCTTAGGAACTCCTGCTTGCTCTTATTTTCATCTAGATGTCTCTTACCCTTTCATGCACATTCCCCACCTCTCTGTAGACTGAACCCTACAAATCTGCTTCGCTCTTCCCGTTCCCTTTCTCTGCAGCGAGGTATCACTGGCTGGGTGTTTGGCTCAGCATTTTGGTGTCGCTTCACACCTCAATGCCTGTATCTGTCACCTCTAGATGCTCAACGTGGCCAAGAAGCCAGTGCTCTTTCTTCGTGCCTTGCTTTCTTATGGTTTGAAGCTTTTGTTTTTAATCATGGGTGAAGACAGTTATTTTTTTATAGAATTTCATAGGTTTCTATGACCCTTAAAACCCTGACCGTTTGTGTTTGGTTCAAGCTGCCTGTTGCCTTCACTAAGGATTGGTTCCTTGTGTTCTGTAACCTGGGATTATGAACTCCTTGGGTCTGGATGTCAGGTGTGGGTTGAGGGTGCCTTCCTCCAAAACATGTTCTGTTTGCTTCCGAAATATGTTTCAAAGGCCAGGACATATTTTCTATATTAACTGTTTGGTTTTTGAACTGGGACAGGAATAGGGCAAATTCCAAATTCTGTCTCACATGGGGGTGCTGGTCAGGGCTTATGGATCCTCTGGGTACATCTCCCCCCATCAGAGCCCAAGGAGAGACAGACAGGCTCCCCATGCAAATGAGATTCTTTCCAGCCCACTCTTTCCCTGGATATACGGGTTTCTGAAATTTCTGAATTTTTAAGTTACTTCAGTACGAGCTCTCTGCCTTGTGTGCTCTAAGGCCTTGCTTCACACCCTCCTTTGGTCTTGAACAACCCAACCTTCTAGGTCAAGCAAGTTAAAACCCATAGGGCAGCTATGGTGTCGGCTCTCGGACTTAATCTTTGGCTCTCAGCTCAGCGTACCTCGCTGGTGCAGAAACTTCCCTGGTTTTCTTGCTAGCTGAATTAGGATTGTAAAAGCAGGTAATCTATTATTGGTCATCATTTCTGGTCGTTTACAGTGGAATGGCTTTCACCTTACACCATCCGCCATATTGCCAGAAAAGGGAGTCCTAACCTTACACATTTAACATGAAACTGAATTGGGAACTGGTTGATTGGGAGATAGCAGGAGAGGTCACAAAAGTGCTGGCATCCAGATCTGAGGGCTGCGGGGGTGGGGATGGGGGGAGATCTATAACAATTGCCAGCAAACAAAGTAGCAGCATATGTTATGGTATATAGACTCTGGTTTAGTAGAAAGTTCACACTGTTCCAGGTATGGTCACAAAGACTAAAGGGTAGGATTTAGTGCAGACAGTCTTGATAGAGGTCATTCTCTATAGTCCGGTGTGATTGCCTCCAAGCTCACAACTGTTTTCCATTACCAACGAGGTTGAAATATAAAATTCTTCCTATAAGGCGACCTCGGAACACAACCCCTAAATGCCCTGGCCCTGGGACTGCGCTGATGGTGAGCACATCTGTTGTCTTAAGGGATTAAATGTACCCAGACTCAAAAGCTCAACGACCAGATACGCTGTCATGAGGCAGATCCTGTAAAACCAGATCACTCTAGATCGTCCTCACCCTTCCATCCTAATCTCGAGACAGCCCCCCCCCCCGAGTCCCTGGAGGGGTGAAGCTCCCCCTAGTCGCCGTCCCTGCCCGCAGTGGCACCAGGCTTCTCGATGAAGGGTTTTGCACGCTGAGGCCAAGTCAGACGGGCCCCGCTCCCAGACGTGCGGGGATGCGGGGCCGGACAGCCGACCCATCAGCCGTACAGCTTCTCCCTGGAGTGGATCCTGTGGTGGCGGATGAGGTTGGCCTTCTGGGAGAAGGTCTTGGCGCACTCGGAGCACTCGTAGGGCTTCCTGCCCATGTGGGTCCGCCTGTGGATGATGAGGCAGGAGTTCTGCGAGAAGGCCTTGCCGCACTCGCCGCACTTGTAGGGCCGCTCGCCCGTGTGCGTCCTCTGGTGCAGGACGAGGTGTGACTTCTGGAAGAAGGCCTTGCCGCACTCGCCGCAGCCATACGGCTTCTCCCCGGTGTGGATGCGGTGGTGGATGATGAGGCACGACTTGCGGGAGAAGGCCTTGCCGCACTCGCCGCAGCCGTACGGCTTCTCGCCCGTGTGCGAGCGGTGGTGCTCCACGAGGCGGGACCGGTGCGAGAATGTCTTGTCTCACCCGGAGCACTTGTAGGGCTTCCCCGCGGCCAGCAGGGCGGGGGACAGCGGCGGGGGCGGCGCGGCGGCGTCTGCGGGGCGACCCCCCCGGCGGCGCGGGAGGCCCCCGGGCGCGCGCTGGGCCGCGTCGCGCCTGCACCGCTCACACTGCGGCGGCCGCGCGCCGGGCCCCGGGCTCTCGGGCTTGGGGTAGAGGAACACGTTCCCTTGCCCGTCGCACTCGAAGCGCCTTCTCGCCAGGTAGGCGTTGGGACTGACGTCCCTGCGATGCGGTAAACGGGCGCCACACGAGGCGCAGGCGTGTCCCTGCTGCTGCTGTGCTGGACGAACAAGGTCCGCGTTCCGGGGGACGGACGCACGGCGCCTTTTCTTGGTCAGTTCCTGCCGGTCCAGGAAGGCAGCGCGCCGCAGTCTGGCCTGGTGCTCCCGGGGTCTACCTGCTTGGCCGTAGACGTGCAAAAGCTCTTCTGGGGGGGAGGGGGGGTAAATAATGACATGAACCTATTCATCTTTCCAGAGTCCTATCACAGAATGAAGTTCTATCAGACGGTGCCTGCTTGGCTCGGTAGGTTAATCATCTAACTCTTGGTTTCCGCTCAGGTCGTGATCTTGTGGTTAGTCAGATCAAGCCCTGAATGTGGCTCTGCACTGACAGTGCGGAGCCTGCTTGGGATTCTCTCTCCCTCTACCTAGCCCCTCCCCCCAATAAATTTAAAAAATAATCTTCTTAATTTTTTTAATGTTTACTTTTGAGAGAGAAAGACAGTACGAACAGGGGAGGGGCACAGAGAGAGACAGAATCTGAAGTAGGCTCCAGGCTCTGAGCTGTGAGCATGGAGAAGACCTGGGGCTTGAACTCCCAAACTGCGAGATCATGACCTCAGCCAAAGTCGGACACTTAACTGACTGAGCCACCCAGGCACCCCTAATTTTTTAAGTTTATTTTGAGACAGAGAGAGAACTGGGGGGAAGGGCAAAGAGAGAGAGGAAAACAGGTTCTGAAGCTGGCTCCGTACTGACGGCAGAGAGCCTGAGGTGGGACTCGAACTCACAAACTGCAAGATCATGACCTGACCCAAAGTTGAGTGTTTAACTGAACCACCCAGGCACACTGGTTGCCTTACGTTTTTAAATCCCAAACTACCTGAGGTTTCACCTCTGACACCCACACCCAGTGTAACCAGGAAGCTCCTAGGTTTAGAAATGCTGAAGTTCGGGGCGCCTGGGTGGCTTAGTCGGTTAAGCGTCTGACTATTGCTTAGGTCATGATCTCGCGGTTCGTGGGTTCGAGCCCCGCATCGGGCTCTGTGCTGACTGCCAGCTCAGAGCCTGGAGCCTATTTCAAAGTCTGTATCTCCCTCTCTCTCTGACCCTCCCCTGCTCACGCTGTCTCTCTCTCTCTCTCTTTCCTAGAAATAAAAATATTAAAAAAAAATAATAATAAATAGCAGGAATCTACAATCCCTGAAAGCACGAGAAAGCCTGTTTCATAACCGTGGGGAAAAGTGTAAGACTGAAGATTCTAGAGAAAAACTGAGCAAGTAAGGTCTCAGATGGGGATGGCAGAGTGGATTCAAAGAATGAAAACAGAATATGGCTTTCTCAAAAAGCCAGGGAAAGGACAGGAATGGTGAGGTGGGATGTGTGGAGGTAATGGCGGTCATTTGGGCACTGCACAGTCTCGGGCCAAATATCCACAGCTGCTTGGAAAGAGCCAAGGCTTTTAAGAACCATTGCCTGAAACAGGAAAACCTGAGGTTCTGCTCTGCAACCGACTGAGTGTCTGCTGCCCCCTGCGAGCTGCCCCTCTCACCTGGAAACGTCCATCTGCCGATTTCTTCCTCCTCCATCCATGGTTCTTGCCCGCGTTCCAACCTGGAGATCACAGCTGGTTTGGTGACCTGACACCCTGATTGTGAGAACAAGTCACAGGATTTATGCTGAGCCACCTGGGCCATTGAAGGAAGCGGGGAGCCTGGGTGTCACAACGTGCTTTCACATCTCCACCAGAGGATAGGTATTTCACGTGCGAGGGAAAGTCACGAATGATGCAGATGGGATGAGAGCAAGGCTGTGGACAACGGACCCCCAAGGCCAAACATTTCAGAGGTTTTTCATAACTGAGAAAAGACCCCATGGGGAAACACAGGAAACCTTCCTCACCCACTGAGACGAGGTGGCTGTAAATCTCAAGCATCACATCCCGGTACAGCGTCCTCTGCGTAGGGTCCAGCTGTTGCCATTCCTTGCGGGTGAAGCCCACAGCCACATCTCTGAATGACAACGAGCCCTGGAATGACACATGCCTGATGACCCCAGAAGGCTTGGCAGAGGACTGCGGCAGAGGCGAGGGGTCTTACCACCTTCCGGGGTCAGGCTGCCCCATGGTAGGTTATGTAGGAAGCTTATCACATCCCAAACTCTGTACTACATTTTGTGGGAGAGAAAAGAAAAGATTAGAAAAGATCTCACTTCTGGATCTTCATTCATTCATCATTCATTCAGCGCGCAAGCATCTATAGACAATCTGGTATGTTGATGGCCTCCCGCCTGGGGCTCAGGGTGAAAGCAGAACACAACATTACTCCTGCACTAAAGGCATCGGCACCTGGTGGAGCAAGATAAACAGAGGCCTTTCGTGTGGTGCGATTATGCCAGAGGCTATGATGGAAGTATATTATGCATGAAACAGACACAAAGACGACAGCCATGTTCGATGTCCTGATGTCAAGTGAAATTCACTGGAGGCTGCCCTGGAGCAGAATCTTGAAAGATATACGGTGTGCCCTGATGTATGAAGAATATTCCAATCAGGAGGCCCAGCATGAGTGAAGGCAAGGAGTCATAGAAAAATCTGGTAAAAACTGCAAATGTGAGATCCCAAAATACCTGAGAATGACAATATAAAATGTGCACGTGTGTGTGTGAGAGCGAGCGAGCCCACATACACAGATCACAGGACAAAGGGTTATTTTCCTATAGGCAATGGGGACTCCTATCACAGTATTTTAGGGAGGGGAGTGACAAAAGATGACCCGATGCACAAAAAGGTGGGGAATCACTGGGAGGGAATGAATAAATAAAATTAGGGCACAATTATAATCAAAGACATGAGACATGGTCAAAATTAAGGTACCAACAAGAGGAAAAGACAGAAAGGATTCCACAGATAAAGAAGAGGGCTTGACTTTCCTTCTCCTTCATTTTCTCTCTCTGGATGAATTAAGGACCAAAACAATAAACTAATTTATACTGAATGCTCTAATACTGTGTAAATCATTTTCAACAGAAATATAGAAGTGAGAAGGCAAAAGTACAACTATAATCACAGATTTATTAATGGAAACACAATATAAAAGGAAGTAAAATCTGACTTTAGATTTTTACTAAATTTACTAAAGCATGAGTGTATGAGGAAGTTAAGTGTAGAGTTTCCATATGCAATTGAAGTTATCAAGTTAAAAGACTGTTAAAACTATAAACATACTCAATGCAAGCCTCCTAGTAGCCACAAAAATAAGTCTATAATACGTAAAAAATCAGTACAAGAAATCCTCAAACCACAATAAAAACAAGGTTGTCAGAGAGGAACAAAGAAACTACCAAACAGAAAACAATTAACAATGTGGCACAGTGTAGTTGGATGGATAAAAAAACAAGACCCAACCATATGCTGTCTACAAGAGACTCACTTTAGATTTCAGGACAAACAGTGGGTGAAAGCAAAAGGGTGAAGAAAGATATCCCATGCCATACAAGGGTAATCAAAAGAGAGCTGGTCTGGCAATACTTGTAACAGACCAAACAGCCTTAAAATCAAGTACTGGCATAAGAGACAAAGTCCTTACATAATTTCAGAACGGTCCGTTCAAAAAGATATAACAGTTTTAAATACATACGCACCCAACATCAAATGACCTAAATACATAAAGCAACCATTGACCAATCAGAAGAGAAACAGACAACAATGAAATAATAGTAAGAGACATAAATAGCCCACTTTCAATAATGGATAGATTATCCAGACAGAAAATCAGAAAACTGCAGAAGTGAACAACACTACAGACCAAATAGCCCCGAAAGATATTTACAAAACATTCTACCCACTAGCAACACAATACTCCCTCTTTTTAAGAGCAAAGAAGGTTCTCCAGGATGGATCCTAGGCTAGGTAACAAGTCTTAACAAACGTAAGAAGACTGAAATCATTTCAAGTATCTTTTCCAATCACAATGGAATGAAACTAGAAATCAATAATAGAAGAGGGGAAATTTTTAAATATTGGAAATTAATATTTTTACACATTGGGTCACAGAAGAAATAAGGAAATTATAAAATATCTTAAGACATGAAAACACAACAAATGGAAATTTACAGGAAAACTATCACAAAGCAGTAAGGAACATTTGTAGAAATGAACACCTGGTTTTTTGAAATGGTAAAAATGAAAAACCCTTAGACTAAGAAAAAAAAGATTGGGAATAAATAAAATCATAAATGGAAGAGGAGACATTATAGCTGATGCCACAGAAACAAAATGGATAATAACTATTATAGACCGTTCAATGCCAACTCATTGGACAACCTAGAAGAAATGAACACAATTCTAAAAAAAAAACAAAACCAAAAAACCTACTGATACTGAATCGATAAGCTACAGAAAGCCCGAGCACATCAGTGACAAGTAAAGAGAATGAAGAAGTCACCAAAAAACGCCTAACAAAGAAAAGCCCAGGACCTTTATGGGCAAATTCTACCAAAAATATAAATAATACCAATATTTCTTAAATCCCCCCATAAAAAGGAAAATAGGGAATACTTTCAAATTCATTCTAGAAGGCCAGCATCACTGTGATACTAAAACTAAAGACACCACACAGAAAGAAAACTAGTATCCCTGATCAACACAGATGCAAAAATCTTCAACAAAATAGTACTACATCAAATCCAACAGCACATGAAAAGCATCAGACACCACAACCAAGTAAGATTTATCCTTGGGATGCAAGGATGATTCAACATTTGAAAATCCATACAAGACACCACATTAATGGAATAAAGGATAAAAATGACATAATCCGTTCAACAGCTGCACAAAAAAGGTAAAAAAAAATTGACAAACTTCAACACCCTTTCATGATTCAGAGCTCCCAACAAACCAAGAATAGAAGGAACTTACCTCAACACAATAAAGGCCATTTATGAAAAGCACACAGCTAACATCATACTCAGTGGTGAAAGCTTTCCCTCTAAGATCTGGAACAAGGCAAGGATGCCCATTCTTGCCTCTCCTATTCAACACTGTACTGGAAGTCCGGCCAGAGCAATCCGGCAAGAAAAAGAAATAAAAGACATTGGAATCAGGAAGAAAGAAGTAAATGTGTCTGTTTGAAGAGGTGGTGATCATCCTGAACGCGGGTCTCAAAGAGATACCTGCATTCTCATGCTCCTTGCAGCATTATCTGCAGTCGCCAAGAGATGGAAACAACCCAAATGTCCATCTGCCGGGGGAACAGATGATGTGGGGGGCACACACCACGGAATATTACTCGTGAAATAAGCCAGACACAGGTGACACATACCATGTGACCCCACTTTTACGAGGACTCTAAAGTAGTCAAACTCCTAGAACTGGTGGTTACCAGCACTGGCTGCATACCTGACTGGGAGGGACAGGGAAAGGCGGAGGAGCTGGTCAGAGGTTCAATGTTTGTTATGCAAGATGCATAAGTTCTGAAGATGCAGTGCACAGCACAGTGTCTGCGGTGAACCACACTGCACTGCATCCTTAAAATTTTCCTAAGAGGGCGTATATTATGTCAAATGCCCCGACCACAAAAAACAAAAAAGACATATTTAAAAAGGGGGTGGGAGGAAACTTTCGGAGGTGATGGATTAAGTCAGTGGTGGTAGTTTCACAGGTGTATACTTATCTCTAAACTGTTCGAAAGTTGTATGCATTAACTAAGCACACAGTCTTGCAGGTCAGTCACACCTCAATAAAGTGGCTTAACTAAAATTTTCTAGTAGTCACATTTAAGTAAAAAAGGAAACTAAGATCTTTTAGTCAAATATATCTGGGATATTATCATTGCTATATAATTGATATACCTTTCATTCTTTTTTTTTTTCATACCATATATTCAAACCCTGGTGCGTTATTTTCCACTCACAATACATCTCAATTCAGACACTGCACTCAGACATTTAATTTCGTGAAATGTAGTTCTATGAAAACATTGTGTTTATTTTTTTAAATGTTTATTTTTAGGGGGGATAGAGGAGCAGAGAGAGAGGGAGACAGAGATTCCCAAGCAGGCTCCATGCTGTCAGCGCAGAGCCAGATGTGGGGGTCAAACTGACAACCCGTGAGATCATGATCTGAGTGGAAATCAAGAGTCAGATGCTTAACTAATGGAGCCACCCAGGTGTCCCAATAAAGTGTTCAGTGGGAAAGTATGTCACTCTGATTCCACTTTAATGTTTTTTTTTTTTAATGTATTATTTATTTTTGAGAGAGAGAGAGCAGGGGAGGGCCAGAGAGGGAGACACAGAATCCAAAGGAGGCTCCAGGCTCTGTGCCGACAGCAGAGAGCCTGAGGCAGGGCTCAAACCCACGAACCATGAGATCATGACCTGAGCTGAAGTCAGACGCTTAACCGACTGAGCCACCCAGGCGCCCCACTCTGATTCCACTTTAAAATTTAAGTGTAAATGAGAAATTCAAGTCCCCAGTCACACCAGCCACCAGGGTTCAGTAACCACTCATGGATGGTGGCTACCATATTGGACAGTGCAGGTCTGGACTGTAGAGCTATGGCTGAATTCCTCTGCTGGGGACAGGTTTCCAGCAGAGAAAAACCACAGTGTACTTCAGTCACTGAGGGCCCAGTTCTAGGTCTGTCTGTCTGCATTCACACCCCAACTCCATCACCTAATAGATGCAGGAGCCCAGGCAGCTTGCTTGATACCTCCAGCCTCTGTCCATCTGTAAAATGGGAGAAGGGATTAATAATACCGATCTCACAGATATTCATCAAAGAATGTATGGAAAAGATAGAAACTGGCATGTAAGTGCTTAACAGGGGGAGCTCTGGAACTTTTACTGTCATTATTTTTGTCATGGCTAACCCTATGAAGTTCCCAGCGACACTCGGTTTCCTACAAAACAACAGCTTCCCCTAAAATGCAGAGAGGAAACCCTGGCCCCAGATACGGGTCTCAAAGCCTTGAGTTGTGGCCCAGCTCTGCTCTGAGAAGGCCGTGGGGCTGCCATCTTGTTTCTGACCTCTCATACCGGTCCTATTCCCAGATGTTTCTGGTACCAAACATCCAGATGGTCCGAGCCTTTTCAGGCACAGACACTCTAAGACAGGTCCCCTGGCTGGAAACCAAGACCCTGTGAATGTTTCTCTCTCTGGAGCAGAGAGTTGTAATGTTTGTCCGTGAGGCCTTGTCTTCCTCTGGGGCAGCTTTCTCCTCCGGGCACCCCAAGCCCGTGGTGCTCCCGGGGGTGCCCCACCATAGCCCCAGCCTCTGAGCCCTAAGCGTGAACTAAGCTGGCCCAAATGTGAATCTCTCCCAGAGACTGTACAAACGGTCTCTACGATACAGGACCAGGTCCCTTCCTACGGCAGCCCTTGCAAGTGTGAGGTGTGGGCCACGCCTGTTTCCGGCCCCAGGGATGCAGTCAGTCTGAGAGAAGGAAGTCACAGGCACAGAGGCAAGGGACAAGGACAAGAGAGACTGCAGGAAAGGTGTCGCTCTTAGGTGTGACTGTCTCTGTGTCCCAGGCCAGGGGTGGCCTCGATTTGGGGTTTGCCCTAAGCTAGCACTAGCTGAGTTTCTGGCTCTTGTAACTTGGAAGGATTCTGGCCTGCACACTTCACGGTAGAGAGGGGGACCTTGTGGGACTAAGCTGAGAATGCAGACAGGCTGGCAGCAAGCCACGTCAGTGACGGCCAAAGAGAACGATGACCCAGGCAGGGCAAGGGCGGGTGCAGGAGTCCGAGCGGCGAAGAGAGACTCAGACAAAAAGCCCTAAGTGCTCTGACCACCCAGCCTCACTGTCCCCGCCAATGTCTGAAACTGGGCTGTTCGCTCTCCATCTGGGTCAAAAAAACCATTCTGAAAGGCAGTTTGAAGAAGTTGCCACTTGTCCGTCCCTCTGGACAACGCAGGGTTTTATCTGGGTCAGTCTCACAGAACAAGGTGGTTCACGCACAATGGAGCATTGTGATCCCTTAAACACCCGGCATCACAGACTTCTGCACTGGCCTGAGCCCCACCGCTTATACTGAAAGAAGAGTCGCAGGAGATTTGCCGTTGCCTCCACCTCACTGTCATCGCTAGAGGGGACCCCACCCATGACACCTCACACTCCCAGGCCCGCCATGTGACCTTCTGAATACGAGAAAAAGCTTTCGTTCTCCTCGGACGTGGATGTGCTTGTCCCACGCGGACAATGCGAGTCCCATATTGGATGGAATCTTTGTAAAATTCCAGAAACGTCTGGGGCACCTGGGCGGCTCCTTGGTTAGGTGTCCAACTCTTGATTTCGGCTCAGGTCATGATCTCGTGGTTCATGGGTTCGAGCCCTATATGGGTTCGTAAACTGTCAGTGCAGAGCCTGCATGGGCTCATCAGTCTCTTCGTCTCTCTACCCCTCCCCCAATGGTGCGCACACGCGCTCTCTCTCTTAAAAATAAACAAACGTTAAAAACTTTTTTAATTAAAAAAAAAAGTGACAGGGGGCGCTCAATTGGTTAAGCATCTGACTTCACCTCAGGTCATGATTTCAGTTCATGGGATTGAGCCCCACGTCGGGCTCTGTTCTGACAGCTTAGAGCCCCGAGCCTGCTTCAGATTCTGTGTCTCCCTCTCTCTCTCTGCCCCTCCCCTGCTCATGCTCTGTCCTTCTCTGTCTCTTAAAAAACAAAATGTTAGGGGCGCCTGGGTGGCTCAGTCAGTTAAGCATCCAACTTCGGCTCAGGTCACCATCTAGCTTTCGTGGGTTTGAGCCCCACGTCGGGCTCTGTGCTGACAGCTCAGAGCCTGGAGCCTCTTCGGATTCTTTGTCTCCCTCTCTTTCTGCCCCTCCCCCTCAAAAAAAATAAACAAACATTAAAAAAAATTTTTAAGTGCCAGAAATGGCAGACACTGGGCAGCTCAGAACTCCAGCAGCCTTGGGGGCATAGCCACCCCGCCTTCCCTGTGGCCTCCATCTTCCACTTGGCTGCATTCTTAGAAGCATCCCTTAGTCCCCGACAAAGTACAGTGCGGTAGAAGGAAACATCACACTCACCTGGCACATGGTTCTTCCCTGCCCCACTGGGAAGAGCAGACACCTGTGGAAGCAGAGATGGGGAGGGGAGGGGAGAGGATATGAGAAGCCAAGCTTGCTGCCCTGCCTTTGGGTCAGCTGCTGCCCCCCTCCACCAGGCCCGGGGGAGAACAGGCTTCTCCTCGCCACCCCTGACCAAGGGCATCACACAACGCTCTCACCTTGCAGTGTGATGGGGACCCAACCTTGCAAGGGTTCAACCTGGATTCTCTTCTACTTAATTCACACTCACATCTGGGTCTCCGCAGTCAGTGTGCAATTTACTAACCCCTCCCCTCGTCACCCAGAAACTGAATTAACAGAAATTTATTCTGAAGAAACAGTCATGAGTTCAGGCGAATAGTCGCCAAGATGTTTATTACAGTTTGTTAAAACTCTGGGGAAAAAAAAAACCCAGAAAATAACTAAATATCCATCTACAGAGGACCAGTTAGATAAAACACACTACCTCCAAAGGGAAATAAGCGTTATGTAGCTAATGAAAATAAAATCATGGAGAAAACGGTTTTATTGGATAGCATACGGATAACTGAAGAAGGTGGCCAAAGACTATTTGATCCCATGCACACACACACACAGACACACACACACACACTCACACAGATCTCTGAAATGATGCAAGGCAAAAAGCTAGCAGCAGTTAGCTCTGCATAGATAGGTAACGACCACTGATCTTTTTTTTTGGTACTTAGATGAATGTCCTAAGCTTTTCCAGGACAAACTGGCACTTTGTACATAGAAGTTTTTTTTAAATAGCTGTAGCCTTCAAAGCTCCTGACCCGAAGCTCTGTCACCCCTCCTGCCCCTGGTGGATGCTGGGATCAAGTCACAGGGAAATATAAACATGGGACCTGGAAGGGCAGAGTCCACTGACTGGAGTTCAGCTGGGACAGGCAGAGGGCTACTCGGCAGGGCCCCCAGTCCCCTCCCAGACCCGCTGGGCCCCCTGCACTTCTGCTTCACCTGCAGCCTGTCCGCGTTCACTGTTGGGAAGAACTGCCCTGGCTCGGCTGTGCTGGGCTCTGCCCGGAAAGCGGTCCCGGGCTGGCTCTGCCACTTACCAAACATGGGACAAGATCTGATGGCTTCTCCTGAGCCCTCCTCCTCCTTTCCTCATTTTGCCAGGGAACAGGAACACGAAGGTTCAGGAGCAAGTTTACTGTGGCTGGAATCATCAACGGGACCCCACACCTAGCTCTCTCCTGAACAGACACGAGGTTGGTCTTAGCAATGTTCCTACTCAGGACAGAGACACACTGGAGTTGGGTCCAAGAAGTCTGCAGAGACGCTCAAACTCTAGAATTACAGAAACTCCATAAAGAATTCGGAGGGCATTTTGGTTTTTGGTTTTGGTTTTTTAATTGGAGACTACCTAAGTGCTTAAAAATAACAGATTGGTTAATCAGTTAGGATACAATCAAAGCATGCCATGCTATGAATCAACTTAAACTTGTACAGCATATCTGACATGAAAACAGCTGCCGGCAACACCAGTAAGTGGATAAAAAAAAAAAAAAAGGTATGAAATCCACAAGCACGTGAGTCACAGATGGGAACACGTGGAAATGGAGGGGATTTTCCCCGGGTGCCTGGAGTTTTAGCTAAATTCCCAAACACCCCAAATTCTCCGGAGGAGCTGGGAGACCCAACCTAATGGATACCTGCCTTTGGAGAAGGAACGACGGAAGGAGCAGGGGTGGGGGTCTACTGAAGAGGTAGACACATGGCGGTTTACGCCCCTCCCAAGACAAGTGGTTATATGAGGACTAGAGGGAGCCTGCAAGAGTGGGGGAATAACTATCGGGCACCTGGTGGTTCAGCAGAGGGGGGCGCGAGCTCGGGGGAAGATTTGTGCATGCGGGCCAGCGGGGGGAGGGGGCAGCAGCAGGCTCGAGCTCTTGGAAATCAGAAGCTGGCAGAGGCCATGGAGGCGGCCAGGTGAGGGGGTGGGGGGCAGGAATGGGAGACACCTGCATGGCCTGCCTGTGCTGGCACAAGATGCGTGTGTTCCCCAGGGCTTCATGGGTGGCAGGAAGCTAGGTGAGCTTGAACTTCACGGGGAGCATGCAGTCTGCCTATGGGGTGCAGAGAGCCAGCCCTGAGAAGCAGGACCCTTGATCCAGGAGCTGGGGGTGGGCACAGAGGTCTGCCAGAGAGCCCCTGCTCGTGTCACAGGCTCTGCACCCCTAAGAAGCCATCACACATGTGATGGAAGACAGCCAGCTGGGCAGGGGGAGGGCTACTAAAAGCACCAAGCAAGAAAAATGTTTCTGCTGCTTTTCCTCCATTTCCCCTCCTCCGCCCCTTGCCCCTGGAGGAGAAAGAAGTGGTCTGATGAGGAAAAGGAAGGGTTAAGGAGGAGCAGAGACAGAAGAGATCACAGGCCCTCCATGGGAGCAGGGTGGGGGGGGACATGAGGGGAAGTGGAAATCTGCAGATCCACAGGGAGAGAGAGAGGCTTGAACCCGGACTTGACAGTGAGATGTTCACTGGCCCACAGGCAAGCCAGGAGAGGCCGTACTTTATTACAGCCTCAGGTCACCGAACCGCTCTGGGTTAAGAGAGATGTCATCCTGCAGGAGAGTGCTCTGGGTTGAACTCTGTCCCCCAAAAACATCTGCTGGGGGTCCTAGCCCTCAATATCTCAGAATGCGACCTTCTTTAGAAATGGAGTCTTTGTCAATGATCAGGAGAGAGTGCGGTCCTGAGGACGGGCCCCAGGCCAGTAGGAAGGACTAGTGTCCTTACAGAAGGGTGGAATTGGGTCCCAGGGACACACACAGGGACAGCGTCAGGGAAGATGATGGCAGAGCTCGGGGTGATGCAGCAGAAACCAAGGATGGGCGCAGACCACCGGCAGAGCCCAAGAAGGCAGGGGAGGGGCCAGGAGCAGCCCATCATGGCCTTGGAAGGAAGGGGCGGCATCCGCACCTTCACCTCCCACTTCTGGCCTCCGGAGTTGAGAGGGATGACGTGTCTGCTTGTTTAGGCTGCTCAGTTTGTGGCCCCTGCTAGGAGCTCCAGGGAACAAGGACAGGAAAGGAGACTCAACAGAGTGCGTCCAAAACAGTGGTCAAAGGGGACATTGGGACACATTGCCCTGGTCCCTGTTTGTCTACATCAATTTCAGCACGTGGAATGGGTTTTTGTAAAAAAAAAAATTTTTTTTTTAAACGTGAAGAAAAAATTCTGGACAAAACACACAAAATGTTAACAACGGTGACCTCTGCATGGTAGGACGTGTTCGTTTGGCTTTATGATAGTGGCATTTTCTAAATTTTTTAGACAATAAACGTGCTCACTGTTTAAGTATTTCATAAAAATATACAGATATCATCTTACTGGGTTTTCTCTCCATGACCTCCTATCAGAGTCCTTCCCCTGGAGGAGAGGAAATCCGTGAGAGGGTCTGAAGGGGAGGAAGGTGGGAAGGGGCGGGTTTTAGCGATGAACTGAGGCGCCCAGGAGGAAGCCCTCGCCTGGTGGGCCCTGGCGGACGGGAGCCCTGGGCGCTAGTGCTGGCTCGGCCTCTAGTAAGCTGGCTGGCTCTGAACACCTCTCTCACGCCCATTTTCTTTCGTCTTTAACAGGAGAAGGAAAAATGAAACACTCTTAGGTTAATAAAGCAACTTCTATGCCTCGACTACCTGAGGAGAGTCTACATCTCACAAGCCGTGGAGTGATGGGCAGTGGGGGGCAGGGGGTAGTAGAGGACAGTGAAGACACCAAGTGTAGAGAGACTGGGGCAGGGATCACCCTCTGAGCGTCGTGGGGATCCCCTCCCTCATTCATGCCTCTCTAACTCTAGAGCGGGGATCCCCTCTCCTCTGAGTAAGCCTTCCCCTTGACCAAATCCTGGATGGGTCCCCTAATGCGATGGCATCACCCAAATTCACGGTCAGCAAGCGGGTCCTCTGGCTGTCTTAGGGACACTTTTCTGGAAGCCGCCCCATACCGTGACCTCTAACTTTATCCCTAAGCTACAAGAGGGAACCCGGAGACGGAGCCCCGCTTCCAGAATAGATTGCTGCTGCCCGGGTCACCTTCTTTACAAGAATTTATGCTATTGGTGGGGTGCCTGGGGCTTGAGGACTGGGGTCAACTCCAACCAGCGAAGTTCTGCTCTCCTGCTGAGAACTTACCGTGGCTGGAGGCTCGGCTCCCGCCTGGAGGCTGACTGGGGGTTAGGAGGAGCTGGAAAACGCAGACAGGACTGAGCCGCCTGGTCACCGCCTGTCTCTAAGCCTTTGCAACAGACACTAAGAACACCTGCAAATAAATAGACGGCACCATGAGACTCCTGTGAGAACATAAGCAGGACATTTACCTTCGACCAGGGGCCCAGGGGGTAGCTAGAGAGAGTGAGACACAAGAAGGATCCACCGCCACCCCGTGTGAAGGCTTAGAGAAACCTTAGCTGATGGCAAGCGAGGAATCAGGGGCCTCGGGCCTAAAACTGCAGGACGCTGACTTCTGCCCATGGCCCGGAGAGGAGGCCCACTGTCCCACACCTTGATTCCGGCCATGGGAGGCCATGCCCCCTGAAATGTGGCCTGCAGAGCTGTGAGGTGACAGCGGGTATTGCTTTATTTTAAAGTTTTATTTCAGTAATCTCTACACCCAACGTGGGGCTCAAACTCACGACCTGAGATCAAGAGTCACACACTCCTGGGACTGAGCCAGCCCAGCTTCCAATCACTGAATTTGTGGTAATCTGGTCGGGAGCCCTCCACTGTGTGCTCAGGAGAAAGACTGAGGGGTGGGCGGGACCACAGAGAGACGCCCTGGGTGGTGAGGTCTGGGGAAGGGGAGTGGCTGCCATGGCAGGAAACCCAGGGAAGCCCCATCCTTCCAGAAATTTCTCTGCGGAGGAACAAAGCCTTGAGGAGCTGAGGGAAGGGCAGCAGAACCTGCTGCTACCAAAGCACAAGGAAGACCTATGGCATCTGGAAGGGAAAAGGGGAAGAACACCCCCTCCCAGGGAAAGGGGGCAGACATATCCCCGGCTCAGACTCTCAAGAGCCTCCTACCACAAGGGGAGGGGCACACCCCGGGACCAGGGCCCTGCAGCACCAGGCTCTGGGCCGGAGGAGCCAGCGGGGGCGTGAGCGCGAGGCAAAAGTCCAAGGGGGTAGGCCGGTCACAGAGCGGGGGACAGGAACCTGCCCGCCCTAAACAGAGACACTCAAAGCCAGCGGCTGTCCGACAGTAACCACAGCAACAGCAAGTGCCAACTCCTGCCCTGTCACTGCAGCCGACCCCCTGCTCCCAGCCGCGCACAGCAAGCGGTTCTCTACTCCCACACACAGCTCGGCGCCCGTTTAAGCAAACGTGGAGACGTGCAAGAAGCAAGAAACGACAACCCACTGCAGAGAGAAAACAAGGGGCTGGGGCCCACTTGATCTTAGGTCTGTGCACACCAACACACGAGCGTGATGCATGTGCAGCTCAAACACACGTAACAGGCACGCTGTGAGGGGAACTGACAACCCCAAGGCACCGTGAAGAGATTCTAGAACATTCGGGATACAAAAAATAAACATGAAGAATATTCAACATTAAAAAAAATGTTTATTTATTCTGAGAGAGAGATAGAGAGCAAGCAGGGGAGGGGCAGAGAGAGAAGGGGACAGAATCCTGTCAGCGCAAAGCCCAAAGCGGGGCTGAAACCCAGGAACTATGAGATCGTGACCTGAGCTGAAATCAAGAGTCAGACGCTTAACCGACTGAGCCTCCCAGGTGCCCCAAGAGTATGCAACACTTGAATAACAATTTAAAAGCCTGACCTACTAAGGTGCCTGGGTGGCTCAGCTGGTTGTGTCTGATTTTGGCTCAGGTCATGATCTTGTGGATCATGAGTTCGAGTCCTGTGTTGGACTCTGTGCTGACAGCTCAGACCCTGGAGCTTGCTTTGGATTCTGTATCTCCCTCTCTCTCTGCCCCTCTCCTACTCATTCTCTGTCTGTCTCTCTCAAAAATAAATGCACGTTAAAAAAAATTAAAGCCTGACCTATTGAATCAGACAGAAGAACGTACTTGATAATTAAAGAACATCTACTCTTTTTAGGCACACCTGGGATTGCTCTAAAAATAAACCTCAACGAATATTTAAAAAATCAATACTGCATAGACGCCACACTCTAAACATAAAAGCAACACAACTAGAAAATAAAAAGAATGCAAAATTATACAGGACAACAGCTGCAAAAAATATTATATATCAAAACTGGTGCCTCGTTACACACACACACTTAAAAGAAATCACAGCCCTAAGATACGGATTAGACAAAATCTGAAAACTAATGGCATTCATTGCAGGAGGCTGGCACAGAAAAGAGTAAACCCAAACGACATAGAAGCAAGTAGGAGCAGAGCTTTTAAAAAGAGGAAATCAAAGCAATAATAGAACAGGTGGGGGAAAAAAATCCTGCCACAAATGTATTACCTGAATCTAATCATGGCAAAACATTAGACAAACCTACCCTGATGAACGTTCCACAAAATAACTGGCCTGTACTCCTCAAAAATGTCAATGCTATTAAAAACAACGGGAGACTGGGGTACTGTTCCAGAGAAAAGAAGACAAAGGGACATGGTGGGGGAAAGAGACGCATGATCTGAGAGCTCCTTTAGCTAGAAAGGGCCTTACAGAGACAACAGGTGATATCTAAGAGACATGGGTTAGACAACAGTATTGTATCAATGCTAATTTCCTGGTTTTGATCATTATCCAGTGGCTGCATGAGAATGGCCTTGTCTTTGGGAAATGCACACCGGGTATTTACACACACACACACACACACACACACACACACACACACACACACACACACACGTATGAAAGGGAGAGGAAGGGAGGGATAGGGCAAGTTGTGTATAAATGAACCAGCGATGGCCTCTGCAGTGGGCCCTGGCAGGCTGGCTCACAAGACCAGCAGCACCAAACTCAGATGTTAACACAGGCTTTCATTTTAAAGATGCCCAAATACAGATTTTCAGCCATTTGGAACCTGCCTGCTTTCCCTACTCCATGAAACTGCCCCCCTGCATCTGGTAGCCTTAGATAAAATACACCAGGTGGCTATAAAAACTCGAAGTGCCTCTGACCCAGGGACACCCAGGGGTATCCTTGTCCACCTCCCTCCTGGGAAGTGGACCCTGGGCCCCAACCTCTGGATGGTCCCATGCCACGAGGGACCTCTTCCTAACGTGCATACTTAAATAAAGCTTGCGTGCACTCCTGGTCATATGGTGACATCTTTTTCTTTAATTGGCTCCCAAATCTCTCAACCCCCCTCCATACAAATGTGGCAAAATGTTCATATTCGAGAAATTTAGATGAAAGGTGTTCTGGAATTCTCTGTACTATTCTACCATTGTGAGTTTTCTCTGAAGTTGTACCCAGATAAAAAAAAATTACAAAAAAAAAATAAAAACCCTAAAATCAACTCTTAGAAAAGATTTATTAAAACTAACAGCATAATTGGTTGGTACTTAAAGCTAATAAAATACACTAAGTTCAAGCATGGTTGATGGAGAAAATATGAGAAGGCAAAAAATGTGATTTTTAAACAGGGAAAAAAAGAAACAATTTCAAATACAGGAGAGATGTTTTTAAATTATGAGGTCACTATACACAATTTAATGCCATAAATATGAAATTAAACTGGACAATTTCCTAGAAAAACACAAAGTACTAAAATTGACAAAGCAACAGAAAACAGAAAAAAACCCCACTAAACACTAAATAAAATGGATTGGTACTCAGAATTATACCCATCAAGGAAACGCCAGGCCCAATCAAACTCCTTAAAATTTTCACCTAAGCTACAAATGGATTTGTATTTGGAATATAATTGCTAACAATAAATGAGAAAAAGTCATAGCAGAAGAAATACAGGCAAAGGTAACAAACACACAAAATAACGTATTGTTTATGACCACATTCCCATCTAGCAAGTAAATAACACGTAAGAACAAAGTAATCTCGGGAGCTGTCACCTGGGAGGAAGGGAAACGAAATGAATGCTGATATTAAAAGGGCTCCAGTGGTATTTATTAGGTTTTAGTTCTTTAGAAGATCTGAAGCAAATAAAGTAAATGTTTAACATTTGCTCAATCTAAATGATAACTATAAAAGTTCCTTTTTCTCACTTTGCTATATACAGTTGAGATCTTTTCCAATGTTAGTAACTGAACATAGTAAGAAACAACTACGGGTTGTAACAGACGAAAACTCCTTCAAGAAGACCCAAGTTCAAGCTGTAATGGAAAAGAACTGATAAGCCTGGTTACTGAGACTAACAAGTACAGAACCAGGTTTCGTTTCCCCCTTTTCCCCCTTTCCCCGCCCCTGGTCACATCTGTCCTACCTTGAACAAAAAAGCCTCAAAGACAGACAAATCCTTCCCCATCTCCGCACCACTGTGGTACCTTTGCTGTGGGGCTCATCGAGTGTGGGGAAAGAAGAGGCTACCCTGAACTGTGTCCACCTCCTCCCTTCCCCATCAGCATTCAGACAGAAGCGCTCACACAGCCCCACCTTCACCCACCCCTGGTGGTGCTGGCGGCTTCACAAACTGGAGATACATCCCACTACTCACTTTTCTCACTACTTTAGCTCAGTCTCCATCGCCTCTACTGACTGCTAGCATATTAACACCAAAGAAATTGAACCACACTGTCTTGCCTCCAACACTTCAGGCACGAACAGGACCCAGTCCCTACCCCCTAACCCAGCTTGCTGCGCTCCTGGAACCTCCTCCAACCTCACCACACACAGCCCTTCCAGGCTCTTCCATGACCCCAAATCCAGCAGTACGCACGGGTTTCATGCTTTTGCATAGGCTGTTCCCTAACCCCAACCCTTTTGCCCCCTTTCACTTATGGAGACCTTATTTTAAATCTGACCTTTGCTGTGCCTCCCTCCGTAGGAACTGACCTCCCTCCCAGGTATCCATTCATCCATAGATAGGAGTAACTATCCAAGCACCTACACCTTGGTGGCCCTTATGTGTTCACAGGACTGACCCCTCCATAGGGCTCTAGCCAAGGATGGGACCCGGTGCTTCACCAGTTGCCTGACCCAGACACTCTATAAACATTGGTCATAGGAACACCGACACCGTAAATCCCTGAAATACCAATTATTTCACTTCCCTCCTTCCTTGACCTCATAGCTCAGAGCCTACCGTTGGTTGGGATGTGGAGTCCGAAGGAGTGACAGAGGGTCGGACAGAAGGGGGCCCTTCCTCAGCAGTCCCTCCTCACCCACGGGAGGCCTGGCCACCCAGGCTGAGTTCAGGGACCTGGACAGGCAGAGAAGCTCCGGGTCAAGGGATGGAAACAAATCCAATATCGGGAAAGAAGGGTGACCATTCGGGAGAGAGCTGGCCCCCAGCTCCCCGGGGCCAAGGCTGTCATGGGTCCACCGCGCTAACCCCCTGTGGACGGTGGGCTCCGACGAGGGTGGACTGCAAGAGGACAGTAAAGCACTGAGACCAGCCTGCACACGGCTCCCGCCCCAAACTAGACAGGAACCCCGACCCTCCCCAGTAGACGTCAGACGGAGCCGCCCACCGGACCCCGGGGCAGAGCACCCCTCCCAGCGCCCGCCGGCTCTGAAGCCGTGGCTCTGCCACACATGCCCTCTCTACCGCTGGGGCAGAGGGAATCGTCAGTCCCAGATGCAATGGGAGCCTCAGGACTGGTCAGGCCCCAGGTGTCGGCCGCGCGAGTCCAGCCAGGGGTCCGGAAGTGCGCAGATAGCTATCGGAGACCTCCAGACACAGCCTAGACGCCCCTGGACTGGGCTGAACTACAACTCCCGGGAGACTCCGCGGTGAGGTACTTCCGGCCGGCTACCCAGGCGTTTCCGGCCACGGGGCGGCAGGTGTGGGCGAGCAGGCAGGCGCGGCGGGCGCCCGGTGGGTTGTGGGCAAACGAGCCCTCTCCCACTTTGCTGCCGGCCAGCAGTCATCTCAGCGACTACCTACCGGATCGGATCCGGGTTGCCCCCAGCCTTGAGCTGTGTTGAGGGACCAGCCATGGCTGCCCGCCATTTGGGCGCCCAACCCGGGTCTGTCTGTACGCCTCCGCGCAGAAAGTCCGTTACCCTAGGGGCTCCAGGTCGGGCACCTGATTTTGTAAAATAACAACAACAACAACAACAAAAACCACTCTCAAATCCTTCAGTCCTCATGATAGTCCCCCACGTAGATGTCATTATCCCCATTTCACAGAATCAGAGGCAATCTTTCTTCAGTATTTTTACTCTGGAGGAACCCTTGAAATATTCTCAGATCTCGGCAAACCCTTGCCTAAATTTTATGTCCGCAGCTCATGGTAGAATAAGGCGATCATAAAGTTACACACATGAGACATTCAATATAAATGGACAACGGCCAGACAACGTACCGAGATAGGACTGTGACCTAGCACCACCGCCACCTTCCCAACTCCCCTGTGTACACCAAACAGCACGGGAAGCCAGATTGCCGGTAGCTGAACAGTAACTTCTGTCACGGCCCCAAACGGCCAGGACTTCGTCAACGACTGACAGCTTTCCTAATGTTTGTCCTCACTTCAAACGCGGACCAACCGGAGAAAAAGTTGAATGTACACCCGCTGACCCATCACCTGGGAGGCCCACTCCTAGTTAGACGGCTTCCAGCTTCGCCCTGCCACCAGCCGCCAGTGAGGGCATATTGGAAACCTTCCCTTTTCTCCCCAGAGTAAAACATTTTCATTCCCCTGCCTGCCATTGAGTCTCTGCCAAAGTTCAAGTATCAGTGACTGACTCCTTTGAGATAGCAAGCTCTGAATAAATAGCTTTTGCCTGTTTGTCGTTTGATTGTTTATTTTCAGAGATGTAATTAATTGTCAATATATTTCTGTAGATTCTGTTCATTCTTTTTTTTTATATATGTTTATTTTTGAGAGGGGATTGAGAGAGAGAGAAACAGAATCTGAGGCAGGCTCCAGACTCAGCTGTCAGCACAGAGCCCGACACAGGGCTTGAACCCACAGGCTGTGAGACCATGCAGGACCCGAGCTGAAGTGAGATGCTTAACCACTGAACCACCCAAGTGCCCATAGATTCTGTTCATTCTGGCTACCTACTCTTTTGTGTGGTTTCTCCCTCATCATTTGCCATTATAAATTTGTTATTCAAAATTCACAAAGGGAAGGTAAAAGAAATTTAAAATTATTCTTTTTATATGCTCATAGCATTTATACTGCTAAAGTTATTACAGTTTAAATTTTTTTAAAAAATGTTTTATTTATTTCTGAGAGAGAGAGAGCGTGCGCGTGAGCAGGGGAGGGTCAGAGAAAGAGGGAGACACAGAATCCAAAGACAGGCTCCAGGCTCTGAGTTGCCAGCACAGAGCCCGACATGGGGCACAGAGCCCCACGTGAGGCTCAAACCCCCAAACCAGGAGATCATGACCTGAGTCGAAGTCAGACGCTCAACTGACTGAGCCACCCAGGAGCCCCTCAAGTTATTACAGTATAGTGCGTTGGGATAGCACATATTACTAAACAGTGCCAGTAAACTGTGTTTATTTTACACCATGGCTGGAATTGTTTGAACAACCAAGTAGGATATTGGTCTAAATTGCTATTCTTTGTAACATACATGTATTGTATGTGAGAGAGAGATTAGGGGCAGCCTTATCATGTGATTTTTTTAAAAAATCTATTAAAATGATCATTTTAACTATCAATATATTTAAATAGTAAGTTTCATATCAATGAATTCATTTTGCATTTTTGGATGCAGCCTAAGAACTTTTAGAATATACTATTAGATTCAGTTCATGCACTTTTTTTTAATTTTTTATTTTTTTAAATGTTTTATTTATTTCTAGGAGAGAGAGAGAGACAGCATGAGCAGGGGAGGGTCAGAGAGAGAGGGAGACACAGACTCTGAAATAGGCTCCAGGCTCTGAGCTGGCAGTCAGCACAGAGCCCGACGTGGGGCTCGAACCCACAACTGCGAGATCATGACCTAAGCGAAAGTCGGACGCTTAACTGACTAAGCCACCCAGGCGCCCCGTTTTTTTGTTTATTTTTAAGAGTGAGAGAGAGAGAGAGAGAGGAGGGGAGGGACACACAGAGAGAGACACACACACAAAATCAAGAAGCAGGCTCCAGGCTCTGAGCTGTCAGCACATAGCCTGACACAGGGCTCAAGCTCATGAACCATGAGATCATAACCTGAACCAAATTCCGACAATTAACCGACTGAGCCACCCATGCACCCCATATAATCTTTTTTTTTTTTTGGTAATATTTATTTATGAGGGAGAGAAGGAGACACAGAGAGCGAGACAAACAGAGAGAGAACATGAGCAGAGGAGGAGCAGAGAAAGAGGGAGACAGGGGTTCCAAAATAGTCTCTGAGCTGTCAGCACAGAGTGCGGTGTGGGAGTTGGAAGCCACGAACCTGAGATAATGACCTGAGCCAGTGATGGCACAGTTATAACAACACAATGCCAACACTTAAAAAGTCCCAGAGTTCAGTGTTACGAATTCCTGATATCATCAAGTTTCAACAGAGGATTTAATATCTCACATTGAAATCTCCACATCCTTAGAAAAACATTTTTTAAATTTATTTCTTTTGAGAGAGAGAGAGAGTGCACCAACAGGGGAGGGGCAGAGAGTGTGGGGAGGGAAAATCCCAAGCAGGCTCCATGCTGCTCCCACAGAGCCTGACGTGGGGCTCAGACTCAGGAACTGTGAGATCGTGACCTGAGCTGAAATCAAGAGGCAGATACTTGACTAAGCCACAAAGGTGCCGCAAAAAATTTAAATAACTAAATCTCTTACCCGTTACTTTAAAAACTCTGCATAATCCCTTTAGAAAAAGGGGCGGGGGGGAGTCCCTGAGTGGCTCAGTCAGTTAAGCCTCTGACTTCAGCTCAGGTCATAATTTTGTGATTCAGGAGTTTGAGCCCCGCAGCCAGCTCTGTGTCAACAGCTCAAAGCCTGGAACCTGCTTTGGATTCTGTGTCTCCCCCTCTCTCTGCCCCTCCCCCATTCACACTCTGTCTCAGTCTCTCAAAAAAAAAAAAATGTTTAAAAAAATTCTGCGGGGCACCTGGGTGGCTCAGTCAATTAAGCGCCCAACTTCAGCTCAGGTCATGATCTCATGGTTCATGGGTTCAAGCCCCGCATCGGGCTCTGTGCTGACAGCTAACTCAGAGCCTGGAGCCTGCTTCAGATTCTGTGTCTCCCTCTCTCTCTGTCCCTCCCCCATTCACACTCTGTCTCAGTCTCTCAAAAAAAAAAAAATGTTTAAAAAAATTCTGCGGGGCACCTGGGTGGCTCAGTCAATTAAGCGCCCAACTTCAGCTCAGGTCATGATCTCATGGTTCATGGGTTCGAGCCCCGCCTTGGGCTCTGTGCTGGCAGCTAGCTCAGAGCCGGGAGCCTGTTTCTGATTGGGTCTCCCTCTCTCCCTGACCCTCCCTTGCTCATGCTGTCTGTCTGTCTGTCTCTCTCAGAAATAAAACATTAAAAAAATAAAATAAAATTCATGCTTCCTTCAGCATCTCTGAGGCATCAATTCTCCTCCAAAGCTCTTGTGTCCCCACTGTTCCAAGATCCCAACAAGTCACACGTACATAAGTCCCACAGCAGCTTAAGGAGCTTCGACGTTGCCACTCTATCCTAACAAGTTAAAAACTGAGCCAACTGAATCATCCACAAGTCCACTTAGATCCGTCAGGGAGGTGAGGTCACAGGCAAGCCCCCGGCCCCCACACCGGAGAGGCAGGCAGGCAGGAAGGTTCAGGGAACCACGACTTACCAGAGCAGGCACTCCACGTGAACCAGTCCTGAGTAAGAACCTGAACTGCAGCTGATGAGCTGTGGGAGGCGCAGTGTCTTGGACAAGCCTGAGAGTCCAAACCTTCCTTGGGAGGGGGACTCAAACCCATGATTTTACCTCAGGAGTTTGTGAGGGGTGCTCACAGTGACTACGGGAGGAAAATTCCCTCCTGCTTCTTGCAGCGGGAAGGGAAAGGTAACCATTTTGAAATACACCAGCGCATTCTGTTCGTCTTAACAAGGCCTGCCCTCAGGAGAGACTAGTTAACTGGAGCCTAACCTACTGGGGTTTTATCAAAGCCTAATTGGCCCCAGGGAAGGAAATCCTAGGCTCCCTCTGGCTCCAGCCTTCCCTATGGAGGAAGGGAAATCCCAGGCTCCAGCTCCGTCTAACTATTCTGTCCCGCCCAAGGAGGGAGATGGACTGAACAGCACGTGTGGGGCTCACAGTCCACGTGCACAGGCTGGCTACAAACCTGAGACCTAGTCATTAGACGTGCTCCCCCTCCCTGACCCCTTACCACCATGTTACTAAAGGCCCATGACGGCAGGGTTTTTTTTTTTTTCAAATTTTTAATGTTTTATTTATTTCTGATAGACAGAGAGACAGCATGAACAGGGGAGGGTCAAAGAGAGAGGGAGA